GGTATCATGGCAATTAGTAACAGCATCTTCTTTCCAATTATTGATGCTGTTGGAGACAATGCCTGTGCAAGAAACGAGTTTTGAAATTTTGAGAAGTACTGACTTTCTGAAATTTTAAGTAAAACTGGTTTGTACAAGACGACACTAAGCAAACATATTTAAGACATGGCCGAATATCTTAGTGTACGACACCTAAATGAAGAATTGTCAACAGTGCAAATCGAACTATATTCATTAATAAATCGACCAATCGTTTAGTGGTTGTTGCACGAAAAAATATTTTTGAGGAAAATATACCTTTATAAAATACAATGAAATCCGAGTAAAGTTATTAATTTAGATAAACGCAGACGTTATGCTGGCTATTTAGTTTTTGGATTTGAAACAAAACATATGGTGCACATTGAAGTTTTATCCTTTCGGTCTTAAAATCTGTTGATTAAGAAACCACAAACATCCGTGAAATTGGTAATCTACGGCTCAAAGAGAATTTACAGCGTGAATCTATCACATGAAGGAAAGCTTTTAATTTGTTTTTCTCTATCAGACCCATTAAAAAATGTCCTTAAAATATAGGATAAAAACAGTTAATACATCTTTCTTAGTTTTTTGCGTTTGATATCATTATCAGTTAGGTAAATTAACCTGGATTGCGAAAACTTGTATGTTTCCACTATGAAATAATCAAATGATATGAACATAATGTAGATTCTTTGAAAACATTGGATGGTTCCAGAGTTTAGACCCTAGTCAAAGAAGATCAATCATAAGTTTAAAACATGATATTTCATAAGATGAAGAGTTTAAGACTCAACAGAACGGGCTTTCTTAACATTTATCTGTAGTATATCATTTCGCTGGTGATATATATATAGGGGGAATCGTGTTTAAAAATCGATAACTCTAACTAAATGCATGATTTCAAGTACCAAAATTGCAAAATGAAACAGCTGAAAAATTCATTATTATTCTTAATTATCTTGTACAACTCAAATCAACTTTTTATGACAGCTTTTGTCCATTGAATAAAATTTGAAATATTACTGTAATTGCTATCAAGTGCTGTCTAAATCCAGATCGGTAATGTGTGCTCTCATATATGTCAATGGGAACGGTATAATACTGATTCTGCTTGAATTCTAGGTTGTAGACTCCATGGAATTTTAACAAAATCTTGTATGTTTTCTGCAAAGATCATTTTCAAAAGTAAATACTTGAATAAGGAAATCGCTATAAGGCTCTAACATGGCAATTAGTTATACTTATCATCATTAGTTTTGTATATACCGCATAGAGTTTGGATCAGATGTCTGAAGGAATTAATTAGTGTCATTTTTCAAAAGGTTGCTTCAGTCCTTTAATAATACATAATTAAGGCAGGAAGTCTATAATTAGAGCTCTGGCTCGTGAAAGCGAGGCTGTCATGTTTAATTTTGGTCTGGTTTGAATTATATATGGTAATTATTAATGTTGATTACTGTTAAGTATTGAAGCTTTGAATATTTAGATCGACCACGATTCATATCGTTTAACTTGCTATAAGAACGTTAGCAGATATAAAAACCGTTTTCTGGACGTGCAAAAGCACAAACTGAAAGGTCGAAAACATTTTCAGTTATTAAGCAATAACCTTTCTGAGTACCTATAGCCTTATTTTTGATATTGTTCCTGAGCTGAGCATAAGAAAATGTCACATGACATGGATTTGTGTTTAGTCTTGTCCAATACTGGAGCAAAAAGGTAATGAACACATCGTATTCATGAGGGCAGGTTTGTTGTAAAAAGATTGTATATTCTTAAAGTAAGAATGACTTTTTACTGGCATCGGTGTACATTAGTACAATGTGATGTTTTACTCATCAACAAAAGAGCTGTCTTCCAATCAGCTTAAAAACATATTTTATATTTTGATGACATTTCGATATGATAATTTTTCTTTTTCATCTATGCTGAATGTATTTGAATGTTCCGTCCTTACAATATATTATTTATATATTCTTTGTGTGTATGTTTGGAAAATGTATAATTAACAATCATGGCTTCATTATCGAAATTTTGGAAACGATGTATACCTTTGCTAGATAATATACAAACCAAAATGTTGTGTTGTATGAAATCAGGTACTGGGAAATCAATATATAATGACCACAAAAAAGGTTAAAAATTTTCAGAGTATATGGCCAAATTTAATCGACATGCTAAATGACAAAGTTTGGAAAATTGATGACTTCATTGCAAAACCGAGCTACTCTTTATTATTCGATAACGACTTTGCAGGAACATTTGGGTGTCTTCTAGTATTTTGATGTTTAGTTTATTTTCGAGTTTCTTAGCCCAACGTTATATTTGAGGCTATTCTGGCATGTGCCTAGTATGTCTTTCCGATTTATGATGAAACTGGTAATGAAATTTTGGGTACTAAACAAAAGCAGCATAACAGGTTGTTATAATGAGCAATAATATCAGTAATATTTTGAATCATACTATTGCAAATTATAGAAATGAATTATACAAATATCAATCTATTTCTAGGATAACAGTTGGCTTTTCTGTCCTGTATATCATATTTGTGGCTGTTTCAAGGTTGTAGAAATAGAGGTTTCAGTCATTCAAAATAAATAACTGTACACAAAGGGTACATAAATAGCACATAAAGAGTTCGTAATGCTTTGCTGCTTGCATGTGAAGTTTGTTTTCATAGTGGCATGGCGTAGAAATGTCGACCTAAAAAGCTGCATGAAAGATCTTATATAGCAACTAATAACAGTGTGTGTGTGTGTTTGAGTGTGTGTGTGTGTGTGTGTGTAATAACGGTGTGTGTGTGATTTAGATTTTAATGTAGCTTTTAAACAAATTTCAGTCATATCGCTACAATATCTGTAGTGTGGCAGTTTATAGTGATGTCTAGCACTGGAGCATCATGCCGCAGACATGTGGCATGATGTCCCACCCAGTCACATTATCCTGATACTAGGCTGACAGTCCTAACAATAAACTCTTAACGCTGAGCGCCAAGCTAGGCTAACCGAAGCAGCTGTTAGTACCATTTTTAAGTCTTTGCATGACTCGGCCCGGGATCGAATCCACGACTCCCGCATCTGAGGCGGATGCTGTAACTAAAAGAGATTACTGATACGAAGAAAACAAAACAACAAACAACACAAAAAAATGCAAATAAAGATTGTTTTGCAGTAATAGGCATCTGATTTAGATAAAAATGAACATACCGGATTTGTTCAGATTAATAGTAGCGCAATTGAAATGTTTCAAATATTGTATGCATATATAATTGCTGGATGGGCAAATACAATTTTACCGAGATATTTTCAATTATCTATTTCTTAATGCAATCTGTTTAACATCGTTTACATAAAATACGATTTCCTTAAACCTTTTAGCACTCTGTGTTAGAGTTTGGACTTCCTAAACCTTGCAGATATTGCAGATTATATGTGTCAATGTTAAACCCTTAATTTACATTTATATAGAACTGAAACAATGAAGCTACGCGTGTAACCAATCCAAACATTATGTACAAGCATAAGTAGTTTGCATTTGAATGACACAACTATCTCATTTGCCTTTACTCTTATGTTTATTTACGCAAGAAATTAAAACTGTTTCATCGACGTCAAGATATTACAATGTCAATGATATGGTAGCTATACGATTAGCGTCATTAAAGAAGCATTTGTGTCCACTGCTGTTCACACATTGTTTATGTTTTTAAATGGCTCTATGTTATGAATCAACATAACACCATGGTATTTAGGGAATCATTTTCGTTTACTGTTAATGGATTTCCTCTTCAGAATTGCTTTACTTCGTTTCCTCTATCGATTACTCCTTATTTATCTGTAACGAAACACAAAATGGGGACTAAGAAGTAAGATTAAAAGCATTATGGGATACAGGCAGACCTTGCAGCGAGCATCAGGATAGATTGTTTCAAGAAAATAGGTAAACACTTTTCTAGTAATTTTCCCATGCATCAGAATCTTTCCAACTTTTACCAAAATATCATCTTTATCTCTATGAGTCTCTCCAGAAATAGAGTTTCACTGCATTTCGTTAATCACTTCCAAGATATTAAATCATCAATATTAGTTAAAAACTAATTACTAATAAATTTTGAGTCTTCTCTCTCAAGTTGTAAGCGATCTGTGAAAGAAGCACGTCCATGTTGCATGTTACTGATTTTAGATTGTCAGAGAGTCTAGGTTCTATCGTACAACTCGGAATAATGTTGCATATTAATTTTATATATGGTTATGTGTGTGCATGTGTGCTTATGGATAACGGATATTTGGCACAGTATTGCAGACCTTATTTCATAAGACTTAATGACGGTAAACTAAAGAGAACTATTCATTCAGGTAGATTATAACGATACAGAATGTTTTACGGTTCACTTTTTGACGATGCCTCAGCGAGTTATATCTCTGCTTCAAATTTTCAATTCCGAAATAAGATATTAGATCCGGTATTAAAAGTACTATGTATTGCCACTTTATTGTCAAGAATAATACGTTTCATAACAACGATCAATATCATAATTATTCAAAAGTAATCTCTTGTGAGTGAGTTTAATTCACCTGAATCTACCTGACTTTAAACTCTATCAATAAAGATTAATTGAAAATTAAATGATGCTTAATTGATATTTTCCTTTTTCTGTTGCGTAATTACACTACAAAATAGATATCACGAATTTATCTAAATCACTGAAAAATGCATCATGCACAAACATTTTATTTGTTGTTTTTTTTTTGTTGTTGTTGTTTATATTTTAGTCTTGATTATTTTGCATTTAAAGCTAATGCATGATCCTTGTTGTGTTTTCGCTTCACATAATCCTCTATGAAAAGTTACAATTTAAACAAATAAATATGCCCAATAAATCGGCTATGTTAGATTACATGGATTAAAATCAAACTGCAGATATCATACTGTGACATTTACGCACTTTTCTGACAGTAATACGCTTTAAATTATTATTGGCGTCGACCGCTCCAGTGGCCTAATAGAGCGTCCGCCTTGGATGTGGGAGGTCGTGGGTTCGATCCCCGGTCGAGACATATCAAAGACTTAAAAAATGGTACTAACAGCTCAGCATTAAGAGGTTAGTGTTAGGACTGGTCGGCCTGGTGTCAGGATAATTTGACTGGGTGGGACATCATGCTAAATGTCTGCGGCATAATGCCCCAGTGCTAGACATCACTATAAACTGCCACACTGTCGTGAAATGACTGAAAAATTGTTAAAGCTACGTTAAAAATATACATCGCGCGCATACACACACACACACTATTGGCGTCATTTTCAACATAATATACTGCAGGATATAATTGCTGCTTAGTACATAAATGATTTAAATGAATGCACTTGCAAAGTAGTTTGTATACTCAGCTTGGTTCACCTTATCATTGGTGGAGGTGTCAGATATTTGGAATATAACATAAATATATCAAATTTTATTCTGGGACGTACTTTTTAAGATTTAATATTTAGCCTATTTATTCAATCTTTCTTTTTCTTTTGTATCGTACTCGTTTATAATAGAAGCATGACAAATCACCACCACAAGGAATTAAAGCATATAATCAAAGTTTTTAAATTATCGATGTGCATTCATAGATTTTATAGATGATGTGATTTATAGATTTTATAATTGCTCTGTAATTGAATGCTTTTATAGCACTGGCAGTTAGAAAGAACCAAGTACTCTACATTTTTGTATGTATTTCCATTTTAATTAAGCACAAATAAACATATATAGATATTTGTTACGGAAAAATTAGAATCCTTTAGATGTTACTCATGCGCAAGTATTTTTACCTTTAAGAAGTTTTCATAGTGCAATTAAACCGTGTCGATTTCGAATCAAATAATCTTTATTAAGCTTTGGTTTGCAGAAATATCAGCTTCGCTCGACTCACTACAGATATTACACGTTTGATTGACGGCCTCTTTGTTTATGGGAATATCACGTTCTGTTTAATCTAATTTTTGTGAAACAAGTCTCAAGAAAACAAACTACATCTGAGACGGATTCAATGTAACAAGAAATTTGAACACCAACTGAATTCATAATATTTCAGCATTAGACTTTTAAATACCGATAATCCGTTTAAGTCCTGTCTTAAGTTTTAATGACTATGATGCATGATTATAAGACTTCTTGTTATTATACCTGACCCTGCCATTGACATCCAAGTTTTGGGTGATCTATGGTTCTAAACTTCCAATCTCAAAGACTGGACTGAAGTGTAACAGCCTTAGCGAAAGATGTATTCTTACTTGAGTTAGGCTTTTGGCATGGATCCAGAAAGATAATCTAATATGTCATCGATAACCTAATTTAACTGGTAAATTAGGGATGACAGCATCCTTAGTCCATTAAATACAAAACTGTTTTATGATTTGACCTATTTTTCTCAGCTTCCAAATTTATAGCAGTGGTGGTCGGTATACATGTTTTATTTATTTTTCATGTCTGCTTAATGCGATCTAGTTCATGCAATATGGAAATTATGTCAAGTTTTAATTCCAGTTGAGCGGCACATAATCCCTAGCTTTTGGTCAAATTTAAACGTGGAAGGCAGTGATAATTTCTTTCTCCAACTACTTATACCACAATATTAACACTTTGCAATAAGCTAGATTTCAAAACTCATGTAGATTACTTGTTAACTTGGCTGTAGAGTATATCATAACATATAACAACAGAACTCATACGAGTTTAGATATTCTGATAATTTTGCATTGACGTATAATTTTTACATTGACCTAGTTTAACAAAAAGCAAATTTCTGTCATCAGGTGTCGGCATCTACTGCATAGATTAAATTCGACGAAGTGGCATTGGTAGCGGCATATATATATATATATATATATATATATATATATATATATATATATATATATATATATATATATATATATATATATATATATATATATATATATATATATATATATATATATCTTTTCCATTTTTACAGGCATTGTATATATTTTTTATTCGATGGATGTGAATTCACAACACTGGCTCAAGAAAAGAATTTACATTCCTAGAAATCGACACAGACGCTGAATTATATGATACAAGATCTTCGGTAATTTAGTCTATCAATAAAAGTTGTTTTTTCTTGTTGTTTGGCTATCTTCTGGATATTTTTAGAGAAAGATCTAATAAAGAAGAGTGCATTCTTTGCAGAACACATTTTCATCCATTTTTATTGCAATCGATTTTTATTTTCCTAAAAATTAATTATGATTTATTTAGACTATCAGGGCAATGCTCTTTGAGCAATACATTTTCATGAGATCTTGTATTTATCAACGCAATCCTGAGTGTGCTAATCATGCTAATGGGATTCATAAGATGGAGTGTAGTGTACATATTTTCAAGTCATATGAACACCCTGAAAAAGATTTTGTTTTGTATTATGTTCGTCTCGAATGCCTGCCTGATATTAATCTTAATGCTAATTAGAATAACAAAAACTTAAATATAACTTATAAATGATAACACTAATTTATGAATGATAAACACTTATTATCTTTTGAGTTTATGCAATTCTATCAATTGCATGATAAAGAAAAAGTGTATTTTCTTTTATTTTATCCCTGGGAATTATAAAAATCGGAAACTGGCAATTCACTATCATAGCAATGAATGGGGCGTTATTGTTTTGTTGTTGTTCTTTTGTGTGTTTCAACATTTATAATTGAAAATTCTTAATGTTAACCTTACTGTCATGTAGACGGCTACATCATTCGAATTGATGATCATAAAATTGTGTGTGGCAATAAACCACAACAACAATGAGCATTGGCAATGGAAAGTCATGCTGCCAAAATATTTGACGATATTCCACAATATCCAACCAAATAGAAATTAAAACCTTGTATTCTTTGTGTGTGTGTCCATATATCCTATGCATTCCTGTTTTATGATCGGTAAGTAGAAGTACTTACAGTTGTATTCAGATTTAATGTGAGAGAATTTATTTATTAAAACTACTTATTAGAATTACAATTTGCTAATTTATATTTTAGACTAAAACACTACTTTGGGGTTATTGAAGTCCCTTTCAAAGATATCTTGAATCATAGCGTTGTGATACATCAAGACATTAAAGACTATAGGAATTCACTCAAAACATTCTATACTTTTCGAATAGTGATAGAACATTTAGGATTATTTGAAATTTAATTCACAATACTGTAAATGTCTTTAAAATTATTATTTTACATTTTAGGGAAATTACTGGTTTGTTGAAAAATTTATTGGATCCTATGTTCTTTTGACTTCACTTTCCTTCTATTATATAGTTTAATAACTTACATGTCTCACCATACATACATACATACATACATACATACATACATACATACATACATGCATGCATACATACATACATACATACATACATACATACATACATACATACATACATACATATACATATACATATACATATATATATATATATATATATATATATATATATATATATATATATATATATATATATATATATATATATTGTAATCCTACAAGCAGCTTCAGGGACGATCAATGAAACTGTAACTATTCGAGATACCTTCTGCTGATGGAAGATACATTGTAATGGAAATCATTTGTCCCTGAAGAAATGATACAAGAACGACACCTTTCATATTGTAAAGACTTTCCAGAGCTAGTGAAGGACTTCATTTAATTTGAGCTAGATTGAGCAACTCAGTTCATATTATAAAAACGAAAAATTGTAAAAGTCAGAAATAGCAATCTCGGTACGATATATGCTTAGACTTAATAATGTGTGTTGATGTAATGGCAGATAGATTACTCAGTAACTACGAAGTAAACGGTGGTCATGCAATTTAATAAGAATGAACGACTCTGAAAGTTAAAAACATAATGTTCTTGTATCGATCTGTTCAAAATTATAATGTTATAGATTTATCACCGAGGCAAAACAAAGCAGCGACAGTACGATCGTGCAGGTTAATCTGCTTTAGAAAGTATTCACAATAAAGAAACCGTTTTCAATGAAACCAACTATTAGACTATTGGTTTGAGTGTTGTTCTTTCTCATTTGATGACAAGCACACTATAAAACCGATAACCTTTTCCTATGAAATTGTAGATAAGCAAAACAAAAAAACCCAATCCCATTAGGCATGTATGCAACGCAATGCTAAGTACCTAACACTTGATGCGCGCAGTCGATGCTTCTAAAATACTACTATTTCTTGATAATCATATATGTGCACAGAGGGTTGCCTGCATATGTAAATTTCAATTTTCGCAAAAATATATTAGCTGCTATGCCCAATCGGAAGCAATAGTTTCTGCCTCTCTATTTGGCTGTCAGGTTTGCTAACTCATAACCCTTCATATGGTTATTTATATTTGTTTTGGCTGTGTACGACTATATTCAGCGAAATAATTATGATATTTAAGGGAAAAGGAATGTAGAGTCAATGTAGCTATAGTATTATTTTACTCGTATGAATATCGCCTCTCTCCTTGCTGTGAATTAACTGGAAAATAATGGTGTGACAATATATTGACTAGCAAAACAACAGTGCAAATATTCAATATTTACTATTCACCGCATTAAAATATAATTATTATAAAGCAATATAACTTCCATTCGCTCTGTGTAGTTGTGATTACAGATTCGTTCACTAGGGATTTGGATATGTCCTAGACTAATCAGCAAACTAAGTATCATACACAATCATGACGCACAACTGACAAGTGATTGTCGTAATAAAACGGCAGCGATATTTGGTTTCCAAATAACAATTTAGAACGAACTGTCTCACAACGTTTGCGGTTACTCCCCGTTCCAATCAAGGTAATGTTTCTGCTTTTAGTACTTAAAACTATTGTCATGCAATACTGAACAAACAGGACTTTTGTCTGGAAGCCACGGATTTGTTTGCACAAAAGTGAACGACCTTGGGATTTCGGTTATATCAGGAAATGCATTCTTGGCGTGGGTGAATTGTAGAAATTAAAGAAAAAACGCTTTCGGTTGGAAAGATTTTTCATCTCTCA